AAAATATATATAACTTGCTGTAAAAATATTTTTTCTTTCATTATCAAAGTTCTTCTCCAAAAACATTTTCTTGTAATATAATTTTCACCAAACTTAAAGTTCACATCAGTGATTCCCAATTCTGATTTGATATTACACTAAAACATTTCCAGTTATATCAAAAACCACCTTAAAATTCCCCCAAACAAAATTCATTTTAATTCACTTTAAACTTTAAAAAAAAGGAGAAACAGGGAAGGAATGACTAGATGAGACATTCATAGGCAAAGCCTAGTATTTGGTAACCACATATTTATCCTGCAGAACCCTGTAGTTCAAAATGGTAAAGTATGAATAGAAAAGCAATATATTATTCCCTTTTCTTATGTGAAGCTTTAAAAGAATTCAATAAATTCAACAATTAGGTCAAACATAATAAATACATTTTAAGTTTTAAAAACATAGGACTACATCAGAACTGCTTATGAAAAAGACTTTATAAAATACCTTAGCCAGTAATTTTAATGCTAGAATATAAATTTTAATTATTTTAACCATGGCCAGAATAACCAGTTGCTACCAATAAGATACAGATAATTTTAGTTTTATAAGACCTGCAAAAAGTCAATTATTTTTTGACTACCAAAATACAGAAATAATTCTATAGTATTAAGATGAATCCATTTGAAACCTCATTACAGTTCACTTATGGCTAGCTGCCTTCCCACTTTGGAAAAGTAATGGTACACTCACAGAATGCTAGGAAATTTTTCCTCCACTGTGTTACTACATGAACAGATAGTAAAATTAATATCTCTGATTAATAAAACATATATTTAGCTTAAAAAAAATTTTTTAAAACAAGCATACTTGCAGATGGAGCATGTGGTAGACCTGGGAAATCCCTTGGTGGAAAATCATCTCCAGAAGCTCCCTTTTCCCACAGAGGTGACCGAGGCCCAGTGTCAGAAGGACCCCTGTGATAATCGGTTAATGTATCAGAGCTTGATTCTCCTCCTTCGTTGGTAATCTGATAGTCCAGATGATTCCCTGGACCCTTGAACCTCTTCCTCCTCTCCTTGGAAGCAAAGGGGAGAGTCTGAGTGGACCCTCCAATGAAGTTGGAGGAGACAGAAAAGCTCTCATTTCAGATGAAGGCTGAGCCATATGGGAAAAGCTCTCTGCCAAGTGATATATTTGGAACATCCAATGCATATGGATCTTTTTCTAAAAGTTCTCATTTAAACTATTTCAGTTAATTTTTGTCTGTTGTGAGCCTTTTTTTTCCTTAAATCATTGAGACTTCTTTCAGCAGTTCGAGCTGCGAACCAACTATCCTGTGCTTTGTTCTCATAGGAAATAGTGCGCCCTTGATAATAATGCATTGTTCTCTCCAATTCTTCTTGAAGATCTTTGGCTCGCTTTCTGTAGGTCTCCAGCTTTGCAGTGGCATGGCCGATCCTTTTGTCTACTTTAGAAAGTTTCTCTTCTGCCTTTACCTGGTAATGTTCCTCTGTTGTTAATTTCCTGTAGAGTTTCATTTCATTTTCTTGATATAGTTCAGTCATTACTTTAAGTTTCTGTTGAAGTTTCTGATTCTCACTTCAAAACATGTGTTTTCTGACTGCAAAGATGCTTGTTCAGTCTCAAGATTTTTAATACATTCTGTAAGCTCTTCCTTCATTTTATCAACTTCAGATGACTGAATATACATTTGATTTATTTCTCCTTCTAAGCTTTTTAAAGAAGCATTGAACTTAGCAGCATGAATCGGTTTCTTCAAAGTTCCTTTTGGAGGATGATCTAAGTAAGCACCATTTTCCAATTCACTGTTCATTTCTAACTCCAAGTTATCACCATCCATTCTGTCTTCCAAGCATAGCCGCCCAATCTTTCATCTTTAGCAGGCGTTCAGTCAGTCTTGATGTGATTGTCTTTATCACTGAGAACTTGTTCTGTGTGTACTTTGGAGTCTTCCAATATTATTTTCTGTTTATTAAGTTCACTCCCTTGTTCTTCCCATAATTCAGCTTCTTGCAAAAGTTGTTTCTGGCTTTCCTGAAGTTGAGAATTTTCATCCAAAGCATCTTTTATTGCTGTCTTCAGTGGTTCTTCAGTCATTAGATATAAAGTCTTGAAGGTCATTTTGGCTTCAGCAACTTGTGATTCAAGGGATTTTGACTCATATTCTAGAGACTGTATCCTTTTTGAAATATCCACCATCAGTTCATTTTGTTCAGACTGTTTCAATTTCTCTTCTTTTAACTCTTTTACTAGATGGAGTATTTCATCCTCAAGTTCTGCATTGGACCTGCTCAGCTTTTCACAGGTTGCCTCCAAACTTTGTGCTTCTGTTGCCTCCTTCTCAAAGCTGGGATCCTGTAAAGATGACTCGACTTCATAGCCTTCATGCTGTTTTTCAATAACACTAAATTTTTCTAGTAGTTTACATTTTTTCAATTAGTCTAGAATACATTTCAGCAAGCTTTTTCTCTCTTCCCACATAAAGCTGATTCCTAACATATCTAAAACCTCTCCAGAAAAAAATAGGGAACAGCAAAAAATCCAAAAAGAGCTGCCCATGTCACCCCTTCCCATGGAAAACCGTAAGAATTAGAATGTGCCCCCATACTTTGATGCAGTGCTGCCATAACCCTGCATAGCACCTCAAGTAAGAACCAGCCTCAAGTAAGGCTGAGGGGTAGCCCGGGGCCCCTCCATAGTGCCAAGGCTGCTCTCCGGGTTGCCACAGTAACCTGGGCCTGCGGGGGCCACAAGAAAGGGCAGAGATCACACAGCCTTCTGTCTGGAACCTGAATCCACAGGTGGCAACTGGAGCGGACCACTGCAGAGCTGGCTGCAGGGAGAGCTGGGGGAGGCAGGGGGAGCTGGGGGATGTTGGAGGAGCTGGGGCACATGGATACCCACAGCCTCACAGGTCCATGCTGCCTTTTTCTTTTTTCTTTTTACTTTATTTTTAGAGATAGCATCTTGTCATGTTGTCCAGGCTGGCCCTGAACTCCTAGTCTCCAGTGATCCTCCCCTCTTGGCCTCCCAAAGTGCTGAGATTACAGGCATGAGCCACAGTACCTGGCCTAAATTTTTTTCTACTTCAATACATCCAAAATATACTGATGAAACTGAGAATACATATTTTCTTGGGGAGGTTTCAAGTGTAACAAATTAAAATTTGTTCAGAAACTACTTTCTTAATAGTTACTGTATTTCATCAAATCCAAGATACTGTTTATTATAAAACCCGGTGTACTACCAAGAAAATATTTTCAGTTAAAGACATGATGTTTTTAGCCATAAAACTTTTTAAGACACATCCCAATTCAGAGATATTAAAATATAAAAAATATTGCATCTTAGGCCAGGAGCAGCAGCTCATGCGTGTAATCCTAGCACTTTGGGAGGCCAAGGTGTATAGATTGCCTGAGCTCAGGAGTTTGAGACCACTCTGGGCAACATGGTGAAACCTCGTCTCTACCAAAATAAAAAAAGTTAGACAGGTGTGGTGGTACACACTGTAGCCCCAGCTACTCGGGAGGCTGAGGTACGAGAATTGCTTGAACCCAGGAGGCAGAGGTTACAGTAAGCTGAAATTGTGCCACTGTGCTCCAGCCTGTTCCACACAGCAAAACTCCATCTCAAAGATAATAATAGTAATAATGTTGCATCTTAGTCTGCGGTGAAATGAAAGCCAGGGACAGTGGCTCATGCCTATAGTTCCAGCACTTTGGGAGGCCAAGGCAGAAGGATCACTTAAAGCCTGGAGTTTGAGACCAGCCTGGGCAACATAGTGAGACTCTATCTCCATACACAAATTTTTTTTAAGTACCAGTCTCAGCAACATGGCAAACCCCAGCTCTACCAAAAAATATGACAGTTAGCCAGGTTGGTGGTGTACATCTGTAGTCCCAATTACTTGGGAGGCTCAGGCAGTAAGATCACATGAACTCAGGAGGTCGAGGTTGCAGTGATCTGTGTTTGTGCCACTGCACTCCGGCCAGGGCAACAGAGCAAGACACTGTCTCAAAACAAAAAAAATTAGCTGGGTGTGGTGGTGCACATCTGTATTCTCAGCTACTTAAGAGGCTGAGGTAGGAGGATCACTTCAGCCCAGAAGTTTGAAACTACAATGAGCTGTGATTGCACCACTGCATTCCAGCCTTGGTGATGCAGCGAGACCATGTCTCTATTTAAAAAAAAAAAAAGAAAGAAAGTATGAAATGATTATAACCTTTTGAAAATAGGGTACCAGAGGAGACAACTGGAAAGTCAGCAAGAGCAGGGACAGCCTAGAGGCTGGGCCTTCCACCTCTGAGAGGCGGCTTAACATTCTGTCTTCAATCTGCAGGAGCTCTCTGGCATATTGGGGAAGCCCACAGGGGCTGGCAGAAGGTGGCCTGCACTCCAGTGTCTGTCATTCACTGGCCAACACCCCTCGGGAGTTTTCTTAACATCTGTGATCATGTTTCCTCATCTGTAAAGAAGGGGTAGATCCTTAACGAGCTGCTACAAAGCACTTCATACAGTATCTAGCAATAGTGAACACAGTAAATGTTGGCCATGATTCTTCCATTTTAGTGTGCTTTGCTTTATGTAGTAAGTGTATTTATCAATGATTTGTAGAAATATTTTTAAAGGAATCTTGTTCCAGCTTATATCCATTTAAAAGGTAATTTAAGAAAGAAATGTAATTTGAAGAATCCTTTTTGTAATGTAGGCTTTCAAAAAATAATAACAAAAAGAACCCTTCCTTCACCCCTCACTTAGTTTTGATGTACAGGTGCACTTCAGTCAGCTCTGATCCAGTTACCCAGATGGGAATATTTAGGATTGTCTGGTCATGCCTGGCTAATAAAATGTCAAGCCCTGATTTTACGGGCTAATATGTCAAATTCATGTTGTCCTGTTTACAGGGAGCCGTCTGATTCACTTGTTCCCAAAGCACGTGATGTTTGGCTGCACTTCAATTTTAGACACTAACAAAAATTCAATATGCTTGTGTTTAGGTGGAATGCAAGATTACAACTACATCTGGGGCCAGTGTTTTGAAATCACGTTGGAGCTGTCATGCTGTAAATACCCTCGTGAGGAGAAGCTGCCATCCTTTTGGAATAATAACAAAGCCTCATTAATTGAATATATGAAACAGGTGCACCTAGGTTTGTACAGTTTTCTTATTAATTCTCTGTTAATACAAAATACAGCATCTGGCAAGACCTCTGGGTTGAGTCAATGCAAGCCTTTATTTATGCTCTGTAGTTACAGCCTCATTTCAGTGCCAGATCTGATGGTTAAGAATTCTGTCTGCGTGAAAATCTGCAGTGTGTGTGAAAGGCAGTGCCTACTCATTCATAGAAAACAAAGCATGAGGCATGTTCTTTTAATATGAGGGTATAAAAATCCAGAGTACCAGATGGACATGGTGGCTCACACCTGTAATCCCAGCACTTTGGGAGGCCAAGGCAGGTGGATCACCTGAGGTCAGGAGTTTGAGACCAGCCTGGCCAACAAGGGAAAACCTTGTCTCTACTTGAAATCTACAGATAGAAAAATTAGCTGGGCGTGGTTGCTTGCACCTGTAGTCCTAGCTACTTGGGAGGCTGAGGCAGGACAATTACTTGAACCCGGGATGCGGAGGTGGCAGTGAGCCAAAATGGTGCCACCGCACTCCAGCCTGGGTGACAGAATGAGACTCTGTCTCAAAAACAAACAAACCAAAATCCAGAGTCCCCCTAATTTTACATGTTAAATGTTCTAGAAATCTAGCAAAAGATCAGGAAAGCAGGATGCTACTCTGTTACATGATTTCCCATTTAGAAAAACACTGTGTTTGCTTCTTACTCGCCACACAGTACCAAGGACTCTGAGAACACTGGACATACCACCTTGCATTTTTTCCAGAACTGGGGTGGTGAGCTAGCTCCATTGCCTTCAACTTCTCTCACCTGTGAACTCTGCCAGATGTCCTGGTGATAGGAATCTTGCCAGCCTGTTTGCTGAAGGCTGGCTGGACCTTATCACAGATGGACATACTAAGTGTGTCAAAGAATGGTAGCTCTGAAATGTGCAGCAACTCACCAGGTGGACTTCTAAAACAGATTGGCAGGCCCCAACCCAGAGTTTCTGATTGAATGGGCCCTGAATTATTACCATCTTCCCACATGATGCTGATGCTGCTGGTTCAGGGACTATAGTTGGAAAGCCATTGCACTAGAGAAACACACTACTTGAGATGATGATGGAATCTTGTACAGTTCAAGTTTATTACTCAGGTGGTCTCTGTTTGGGCAAGGTGTGGACGGCTCTTCTTTATTTACAGAGTTAAAATTATCTGCTTCCATTCAGAATGGCTTGGGGAGAGAAACATGTCAGAAACTGGCATAATCGCTATAATATCACAGAGACGGGGGGCAGCAGTGTTTGTGTGTTGAAAAGGGTTGCTGCATGGGCCTACTGTGTAATTGCATAATTCCTGGACTGTTCTGCATGATTCACACCAAAGCTTTCCTTCTGCTATGAAGAAGATGGAGAAGGATGAGGGAGGGTAGCACAGGGCCAGAGGGCTGAGTGCAATTAGTACCCTCCCTTGGCCACACAACCCTAAAAGGGATGCCTCTACCCTCTTTCATGCCTGTATTCCCAGCCTCCATTCCATGACCTGAAGAGAAGTACACAAAGATTACTGGTAAACTCTCAGGGCTGCTTAACTGGCTGAGTCACTCATGGACTAGGTTGACTCCCAATGATAGGGGATGTTATGAAATCTGTTCTTTCTCACCACATCTCTTCAGATTATAAACTTATTATTGGGACTTTCACCTTCCTTATTATGTCATCAACCTTTGTCTTGGGTTCTTTCTTGCTTAGTATTCTGGTATTTCTTTCTCCATTAGATTTTCCTTATGAGGCATGTCATGTATTAATCTAAGCTATTATATTTCTACCTATCTTGATCCTTTAGTTTATTAATCTGACTATTACTATTATTATTATTGTCATTGTCATTATTTTAGGGACAGGGTCTCCCTCTGTAACTCAGGCTGGAGTACAGTGGCACAATCATCGCTCACTGTAACCTTAAACTCCTGGGCTCAAGTGATCTTTCTGCCTCATCCTCCCAAGTAAGTAGGACTACGGGTGAACACCACCATGTCTAGCTAATTAAAAAAAAACAAATTAGTGTAGAGACAGAATCTTGCTATGCTGTCCAGGTGAGCCTCAAACTCCTGGTCTCAAGCGATTCTTCTGCCTCAGCCTCAAAGTGCTGGGATCTCAGGTGTGAGCCACCATGACTGGCTCTGCCTATTCTTTTCTGAAATTCATTCTTCACTAGAATCAACATGGTCATGGACATGCATATGCTCTATGTAACTACACTGCTATTTTCAGAACCTCAATCTAGCTGTACAGATTATTCACCAAGAACTGAATGAAGGTGGGCTTTGAAGTATCATGTTGATATAATATTGCCAGGGAAGGAGCTTTGTGAACTGATAACATACAAATTGCAGTATACCTGTAGTTACTATTTTAATACTTTTGAAGGTTTACCAGTCCACCATTAGCACTAGGTTTGTTTGTTCATTTCTGAGATGGAGTCTGGCTCTGTCACGGAGGCCAGAGTGCAATGGTGCGATGATCTCGGCTCACTGCAACCTCCGTCTCCTGGGTTCATGTGATTCTCAGCCTCCCAAATAGCTGGGATTACAGGTACCCACCATCATGCCTGGCTAATTTTTGTATTTTTGTACTGACAGGGTTTCACCATGTTGGCCAGGCCGGTCTTGAACTCCTAACCTCAGGTGATCCACCCGCCTCCGCCTCCCGAAGTACTGGGATTACAGGCATTAGCATGAGGCCCAGCCCATTTGCACTAGGTTTTATAAATAATGTTTATCTGCCTGTTTCTGTAATCAGATGGAAACAACTCACTCAAAAAATATATATTGCCACATCAACCCTGTCCCCTTGTGATTTAAGACATATGCATAACATGGTTTAACAATGAAACCATATTTTCAAACACCAATACAGTGTGTTATTATTATTACATAATAGAAAGGTTCTGTCACTACTAGTGCCCAATAAGAAGCTAATGAATGTTTTTGTTTGTGAAGGATAAGAGCAAACACTTTTATTGGCATTACTCTGGTTTAGGGATATTATTGATATTTGTCAAGCTGCATTGCATTTGCTGGTTCCATGTTACCAATCGCTAGGATGCTTCTGAGTTTCTGAGGTTTTGACCCATCTGGAACATTCTGACCAACTTTGTCTGGCAAGGAAAGGTCTTCTGCTTTAGTGGAAGGGCATCGCCAAGAGGGCCGAGGCTTGGGTAAAGCAGTTGTGTCATCTGGCGATGTTTGAAATCATGAGCAAGCACTTGTCTGAATCTCAGTTTAGTCAATAGAAAGTCAAGAGTAATAGCATCAGCCTTGCCTCCCACCAGCCTGTTCTAAGGCTTCAGTGGTGCTTTTCTTTCCGTTAGAATTCACTGCAGACCTCAAGTGAAACTCGGGCCCCTTGGTGCCATGTTGTCCTGCTTAGAGGATGATTTACTAGGTTTGAATTGAGATGAGGATGTCACAGACATTAAGACCAAGGTAGCAAAGGAGGGCAAGTCTGAATTCTAGGGGCCTAGATTGTCTTGCTTGTCCCTGTCTCTGAGGAGAAGCAAAAATGAGCAAGACATGGTGTTACCTGCCACTGCCCTGTCTCTCCCCTGGACTCCTCAAAGCAGATCTGAACCCAGAGAGCCAGGGAATGGCTCACAGCATCCAGAAACCTAAGCAACCTGGGCCTAAAGGAATCTGGTATGTGCCGAGTTCCAGAAGCCTGGGACACACATGTGGATCTGTCACCACATCCAACATAGGATGCAACTGTGACCATGCAGTGGGGACATGGGCACAAACAAGCAGTCTCCTAAGTACTGTCCCAGTTCCAACTCTCAGTCATGGCCAACAGATGCGGAATTCCAGTTCTTGCCCAGCCAAGAAAGACTTTGATTCATGAAGCTCTAATACATATTCCGAGGGGAAAAGAGCTTTACATTTCTCCCATGTATCTCCCCATCTGGCCACAGAATTTTATTTCTTTTCATTTGTGTAGCATATGAGCACTTTATACATTTTTATTTTGTGTTTGTTTTTATATATAGTTAATAGTGTTGGCTCTCTCTGCATCTCTTGAGGTCTACCAGTCTTTTTTTCAGTGTTTCAACTTCAGCATATAGAAATAAATCACATTTTTTAGTAAAACAGTTACTTCCCTCTTAGGTGAAAGGTTTGGTGGTATGTAGACAAAATATTGTAAAGACATATACAACTAAAGCACCCTTTCATTTGAATAGGAGTTTTTCTGTGAATACAAATTCCATACATAAGCATGGTCTGTGTTTGCCCAGTGACAGTGATATTCACATACCCCAGGCTTCCACAGCTGGAATGACTATCTTTAGGTTTAGGTAAGAGTCATACGAAAGTGAGTCTTTGGCCCTATAATCCCAGAACTTTGGGAGGCCAAAGTGGGCAGATCACTTGGTATCAGGAGTTCGAGAACAGCCTCGCCAACATGGTAAAACCTATCTCTACTAAAAATGCAAAATTAGCTGGGTGTGGTGGCGGGCACCTGTAATCCCAGTTACCTAGGGGGCTGAGGCAGGAAAATCACTTGTATCCGGGAGGTGAAAGTTGTGGTGAGCAGAGATGGTGTCACTACACTGCAGGCTGTGGGCCAGAGGGAGACTTCAATTCAGGAAAAAAAAAAAAAAAAAAAAAAAGGATGATGAATAAGGGTCAAACTGTAATACGAAGACTTGTTCGGACATTTCTTCAAATGCAAATTGTTCCTCCTCTTTCTATCTTTGAGGGTAGGCAGATCTCAGGTTAACTGGAGCCTCAGTTCAGAGGCAGCACACGCTGACCCATACGCGTTGTTTCAGTACCTAATGCCATCTAAAACCACTGTCACGTGCGGCCATCCAAAACCGCTACCATGTGAGGCTGTCCAAAACCACTGTCAATAAAATCAAGTCTGGTCTATTAAAGTGTAACTGCTTCTAGCCAAGAAGAAATTTGCTGCCTTTTTTCAAAGGGTACCATGACTTTTTTTGGTGTCTTCTGCCTACTACTCATCACTAGTATCCTGAATTCCATTTCATCATCATCCTCAATGTTAAAGGATGGTATAATGTCAGTTTCAATGATACTTCTGCTTTGCTTTTTATGCACTTCATTTACTTTGATTTGGTGGGTTTTGAGGAAGTCAATGAAAAATACAGAGATGCCAACAGACACACCACCCTCTAGCACAAGCTACGTTGCTGAAATGCATGGATTTTCTAAGTGGCGGGAACACAGTCAGCTAGCTCAGAGCCCTGGAGAAGGAAATAATTTGCATAGCTTCTTCCCTCACATATTGCTGCTTTACAGAACAGAGTTGAATTGAGATTCCAGTAACTCATCTAATATATGTTTTCCTCCCCACCCCACCCCCATAGTTTTTCTTATCCAAATAAGAGGAAAGAAAGCTGGGCCCAGTGGTTCATACCTATAATCCTAGCACTTTTGGAGGCCAAAGTGGATCACATGAGCTTAGGAGTTCAAGACTAGCCTGTGCAACAAAGTGAAACCCCACCTCTGCAAAAAAAATACAAGCCTGGGCAACATGGCAAAACCCCATCTCTACAAAAATTAAATAAATAAAGTAAAACAATGTCACTGAAACCCAAGGAATAAATCCATAATCTGGTTACCAAATTATGACCAATTTATGATTGGGTACTACCTAAAGATCAAAAGGATATATATTAAGCAGTAGGAACAAATATAATGGAAATGTTTTTTAAAAAAGAGAGGCCAGGCTGGACACAGTGGCTCACACCTGTAATGCCAGCACTTTGGAAGTCCGAGGCAAGCAGATCACCTCAGGTCCAGAGTTTGAGACCAGCCTGACCATCAAGGAGAAACCCCATCTCTACTAAAAATATGAAATTAGCCCGGCATGGTGGCGCATGACTATAATCCTAGCTACTTGGAAGGCTGAGGCAGGAAAATCCCTTGAACCTGGGAGGCAGGGTTGTGGTGAGCCAAGATTGTGCCATTGCACTCCAGCCTGGGTAACAAGTGCAAAACTGTCTCAAAACAAAACAAAACAGGCCAAAGAGAACCACGTGACATGAAAATAAAAGTTTACATAGTTGTATAGAGAAAGGGAGAAGGAAATGTGGCATTTTCCTCCTCTGGTAGCAAAAAATAAAGAGTCAGGAATTAAATAGGAAAGAGAGTATAATAAAAGGCAACCTAGGTCAGATAGAAGTTTGTTTAACAAAATAAACATTGTTTTGTTAAATGCCAAAATTTTTATTTTTCATTTTAACCATTTCTTGGGAAGCTATTATGTGTGCCTCATGTTTTTCTGCCCTAATAAATAATCATTGAGTATAACTGTTTGGGGATCATTCAAGCTCATCTTATCATTGTAGACTCTTCATTCTCATTTATGTCATTGGGGGCTTAGGTGGCTTCACCTTAAGGTAATATGATTTGGCCCTGGAGTAAACAAACTAGATGTGAAATATAGGATCTAAAATAAGAAAGGTCTTAAAAATTAATGGCCTTTTAAAAATTGTACTCCTGAAATTTTGAGAGGGGCTCTGGAGACTATCATGTATTGACAGTGAGGCTGGGCCACTTCGTTGGCAGTGTGAGCTTGTGAAGGTAATTTTAATAAGCCAGAGCCTTCGTTTTTTTCATCTGTAAAATCATGATAATAATTGACAGCACAGAGTTGATATGAGAATTTAATGAGAAAATACACATGTAGCAGTGAATACAGAACCTGGAATATACTAAGTGCTCAATAAATATTGGCTGCTATTACTGGTCAGTCAATTCCATGCTTCCAGTCTTGGGATTATAATTTTGCTTCTCATGTAGTTTGACCCCAAGACAAAACTACTGAGTCCCTTGCATAGGTAAATATCTTGTTATAATGTAATACATTGACAATGTTTTTATTTAGGATTTTATGGAATCCACCAATGATTGTTGTACAGTTTGGCAACTGAGTAAACAACTTGGAAGTGACAGGAGTAGATCTTAGGTTGTCATCTGTGTTCTCTCACTTTGATAGTATGTGCTAATATAAATGGACTATTCCATTAGTAATTTTTACTGTATTTTAAGTTACATCAAAAATAAGTTTTCTTTCCCTCTCTAACAGTTAATATTAACTCAGAACATTGAGTTAGCAAATAAATATTGCATATAATTGTTCTTAAATATTTACAAGAATTTTTATATACCATAAAATATGTTATTTACATTTAATTTTATTTTTATCTTGCAGGTGTAAAGGGTCAAGTTTTTGATCAGAATGGAAATCCATTACCCCATGTAATTGTGGAAGTCCAAGACAGAAAACATATCTGCCCCTACAGAACCAACAAATATGGAGAGTATTACCTCCTTCTCTTGCCTGGGTCCTATATAATAAATGTATGTATGTAAGGCTAGTTATTGTTACTAAAATATTGTAGAACTCATAATACTTACCCGGAAGAAATTGAAAAATAAATCTAAGAAGTTCAAAAGTAGATCCATCAGGACAGAAAGAAAGGACAGTGTCAGACTTGCAATTGGCAGGGAGTAGAAAGGATGGAAATTACAGAGAAAAAAAATTCCTATTTTTTTCTGATGGCAATTATTTTTTTAAATAGAAGCCAAATCCTATTTCTTGTGATACCTTTTATGATTAAAATGTAACCTCATTTATAATTAGAATAAGCGATGTAGCAAAGGTAGTTTACACCTTCCTCGAAGAACATATAACACTCATTCCATGGAATATACTTTCTACTATAAAAAATGAATTGGGAAATGTTCCTTAGAATTTATTTTATAATTGAAATCTGATCCATAAATTTTATCACTATATTCAGCAAATGATAGACTTATTTTGCAGCCCTTTTTCAATTGATGCTAGTAAAATTTCAGTTTTTGATTCTATAAAATAGATATTTCTGAGTTATTTTATCCTAAGACAGGGAGGTCTGGACTAATTTGAGCCTGAGAAGATTTATGTGAAAGAACTAAATGAATAAGTATTGATTTAATTGGCCAGATTTTGCCTCTTTCTCTTTGATGTGACTTTCTCTGAGAAATTCAAGATTCTTCTACTTTGCTTAGCGGATCTCATGCCAACCATAGCAGTCATTCTATGTAGAGCTAATCCTGGGAGAAGGTAGTCATCTCTTCTGTAGTGAAAACTGAATGGGTATTTTATTATTTCATCTTGAGGACATCATGAAAAACAAGGTTTTTAGTTGATAAAACTTAGAATTCAGAGCCTCCCTGCTCCATGGGTTCTCCCCAAGGTGCCTAGAAGTGGGGCCTATCAACTGCAAACCTTTTAGGAATATCCACTCCTACATAGAAAATGGACAGAGCTTGAAAATCTCAACTCACTGTGGTGAATTTTTCTCTAGAGGGCCCTTTATTTTCCTCCTATTTACTGTGATATCTCTATCTATTTTGAAAAATGGTTTTCCTTATAGTGAGTCTAATTACTTGAATGCAATCTCATAAATAAGCCACACCTTTAGAATAACGTTGTGAATTGTTCATTTCACATTAGTTAGACTAACACAGTACACATTGACCATAGATATTATTTCCAGGATAAGATTTGAAGGTAAGACTCTGGACGCTGAAATGAATGTGTAAAATATATACCAATGAGTGGTTATGTAAATGTCATTCTCCATTTTTTCCCTTCTCCACCACATATAATAAAAGCATTTCTCAGTAGACATTGCCTGTAGTTAGTTTAGCATTTCTCTTATTTGACCTGATCATTTTCTCCACTTAAAAAGAAAAAAAAAATCTAACTGAAGATTCAGGCTCATATGAACAAAACCAGATAAAATCAAAGCTTTTAAAGGAGGCTGGATGTGGTAGCTCACACCTGTAATCCCAGCACTTCGGGAGGCCAAAGCGGGTGAATCATTTGAGGTCAGTAGTTCAAGACCAGTGTGACCAATGTTGTGAAACCCTGTCTCTACTAAAAATACAAAAAATTACCTGAGCATGGTGATGCATGCCTATAATCCCAAAAACTTGGGAGGCTGAGGTAGGAGAATGGCTTGAATCTGGGAGGCGGAGGTTGCAGTGAGCTAAGGTTGTGCCACCATACTCCAGTGTGGGTGACAGAGTGAGACTTCATCTCAAAAAAAGAAAGAAAGAAAGAAAAGCATTTAAATGAAGCAATAGACTTGTAGGTCAACTGAAAAGAAATGAATAAGTTGAGAAAATAATTCCAATGATTCTACTTGTAAATAATCCTGATATCTAAGGAGGATGTTAAATATACACAGGAAAAAGGAAAACAGTTAACTCTTTACCTTTGTGCCCCATGAAAAGGATGGTGGCAGAATCATCTGCTGCTTCCTTCTCTTCACTTACGTCCCCAGGTAAGGTACCTGTATGTCCTTATTTTATTTTGTAACTCTTGGCAACAGCATCCACAATGCTGGTCTCTGTCAACAGGCATTGGGTAACTCAGCCTGCAGGAGCAAATCTGTTGCTGGCCCAGAGTCTGGCAGATTGTGACATGCATTGCACAAAGGCTACATTTTAGTGGTGGAGATCAGTGTTTTCAGTTTGGGCACCACCAAACATCTTCAGTCACTCATATAATTGTCTCTTGTTTCTTCTCAGGTTACAGTCCCTGGACATGAGCCATACCTTACAAAGGTAATTATTCCAGAGAAATCCCAGAACTTCAGTGCTCTTAAAAAGGATATTCTGCTTCCATTTCGAGGGAAATTGGATTCTATCCCAGCGTCAAATCCTTCATGCCCAATGATTCCTCTATACAGAAATTTGCCAAGCCACTCAGCTGCAACAAAGCCTAGTTTGTTCTTATTTTTAGTGACTCTTTTGCACATATTCTTCAAACAAAGTAAAATGTGAAACTCAAGTCACATCACCACCTGGAATCAGGGATTACTCACTCCAGGTTACTGCAACCCTAACTCACTCTAGTGGGACCTTGACTCGAGAAACTCCACAATCTTCCTGAAGAAAAGTGGATGTTTCCAAATTCTGCAATAAGCAATATGTGGTGATAATGAGAAGAATGATTCAGTCTTGATGATGAATGGAAGACACTTACCTAGCACGTACTTCTCATTTGCTCTCAAATTAATCTTGAAGTTGTCTTAAAATTTGTAAGAAGTTAAAACTTGAGAAGCAAAAAAATGCCTTCCAAAGGAAGATAATTTTGTATCCAGAGAACCGGATGAATATAAGCAATAAAGATGAACATTTATTGATCTTCTACATACAAGACCTCACCATGAGGCCAGACTTGGTGGCTCATGCCTTGTAATCCCAGCACTTTGGGAGGCTGAGGTGGGTGGCTCACCCACCAGCCTCAGGAATTCAAAACCAGCCTGGCCAACATGGTGAAACTCCGTCTCTACTAAAAATTAGCAGAGCTGGGTAGCAGGTGCCTGTAATCCTAGCCACTCGGTAGGCTGAGGCAGGAGAATCGCGTGGACCTGGGAGGCAGGGGTTGCAGTAAGCTGAAATTGCATTACTGCACTCCAGCCTGGGCAACAGATTGAGACTCTGTCTCAAAAAAAAAAGACCTCACCGCGAGTGCTATATGTATGTGAAGAGACAGTAAGTGCCTTATATTTTTAGTTCTCAGAGAAGGGAGAAATTATAGGACTGAGAATTGTTTTGCAAATGTTCTAGGAGATGTCAGAGAAAATATGCAAGCATATCTGAGTGGCCCAAGAAAATACAAGCCCAAAGGGAAAAGATTGTGTCTCTGTAGAGCATCAAAGCACACAAGTCAATTAAGTAAAGCCCCTCTCCCTCCAGAGCCACGTGTCCCTAGATTTTGGCACCTGGCGCCACAGTCGTCTATTAGGCTGATGACTCCAAGGGTATAACTCTAGCCTCTTGCCTGAGCTTCGGACTCACACCCACTGCCCACTGGACACATGCACCTGGATGTGACTGACAGACACCTCAAACCTATCATGTGGAGATACTCATCCTGTTCCCCCTAGAGCTGCTCTTCCTGCTGCATTGTCTCTCTCAGTTACTGGGACCACCAAGCTAGGAGCCTTGGAGTCATCCCTGATACTTTCTCCTCCTCGTTAATCCCATGTATTCATCAAGTAACTAAAGATTGGTGTTGGCTGGGCATGATGGGTCATGCCTGTAATCCCAGCACTTTGGGAGGCCAAGGCGGGCAGATCACTTGAGGTCAGGAGCTCGAGACCAGCCTGGACAACATGGTTAAACCCCATCTCTACTAAAAAAGAAAAAAAAAAATTAGCCAGGTGTGGTGGCACGTGCCTTTAATCCCAGCTACTGGGGAGGCTGAGGCAGGATAATTGTTTGAACCCAGGAGGCAGAGGTTGCAGTGAGCCAAGATGGCACCATTGCACTCCAGCCTGGGAGGAGAAGCGAGACTCGGTCTCAAAACCAAAAAAAAGATTCGTGTTAATGATAATTATTGATGGATTCTGCTCTTCTTGGTTGTCAGCACCGCAAAGCTGAGACCCGGTACTTCACCTGCACTGCTGCAACAGCTTTTTTGGTCCCTTGCTCCTTTCAGTCCCTCCTCCACACAGCACTTTTTTTGGTCCCTTCTCCTCTTCAGTCCATCCTCCACACAGCACTGGGGAAGGGGAGCCACTTGAAACAAAAGTCCACAACTGCTTGTAGTTCATAAACACAGAGCTGCTTGTGTCCCTGTATCTGGAATGCCATTCTACCCACCACATTTTTCCTTTCCCACTCCTCTTAAAACTCAGTTCAGGTAGCAGCTCCATTAGGAAGCCTTGGCTGACCATAATCCCATTCAATTCCATTTCACCCCTTCCCTGGCAGTCTGGGGTTGGGGACCCTTCCTCTTAGCTCCCCAAAATAAACTGTGTATCTCTACTATTGGGTTTACAACATTGTATTATAATCTTCTACTTCCATGGGTGCCTTCTCTAGTAGAATGTGAGCTCTTTGAGGCCAAGGTCTACTAAATTTGTTGGAACAATTCATTTTTATATCCTCAAAGCCTAGCACATAATGGGTACTGAATGAATGAATGAACAAACAAGGGGTTCCAGGAGCCTGTTACTCCCAGTCCTTCCCAGAAACAGCCTAGGGCTTTGTCATTTTATGAAGCTAGGTCTTATGCTTAGGCAATCTCCAGCTCACTTGGAACACTGACAGAAGAGTGTTTTCATGTCTGTAATCAAGAAAATAATTCCAGATACATTCCTTTTACTGGACCTTGAATTGATTCTTATATTGGTAGTAAAGGTATTTTGTTACCTGTTAACAGCACTGCAAACTACCTTTTTTTTTATCAGATTAAATTTTACCATTAGGACTCAATTTGCTTCTCAAATTCTCCATGAGAGTTACTCTATCTTAAACCATTACCTGTAAGAATTAAAGGGTAAAGCACTAACCAGAAAGGAAAGAAAACAATTTTCTCCTCTTCCTATCTTCCTTTCTTTCTTCCTCCTTTCCCTCTCCTCCTCTACTTCCCCTCCCCTCCCCCTCCCCTTCCTCTTTTCTTTCTCTTTTTTTACTTAATCCCCAGTGTGATAGTAATATAGGCCGATTTCTAGAAGTGCGGTGTATTACTCACGGAAAATGAGTTGCCTTGGTTCTTACTTTCAATTGAAAGTTCTACAGGATCTAGAAATGAAACCATAATGGCATGGAGAGTGATGAGAACCACAGAGGAATGAAGAGCTCCTGGAGCATTTAGGCCATTTCTATGCCAAGCTTATTCTACATCCACAAAATCATACATGTCAATATAAACAAAATTTGGAGGCTTCTTTAACCCACTTAGAAAATCTGGTAATTTGTGTGTTGGCAATAGATCACAAAAAAATCTTATAATAATCTGAATATCTTGATTATTTAAGTAAGCAGTAATTTATTATATCCTTGAAAGTACATATTAATATAATATTGCAAAAATGACTTTGGTATATTACAAATAAAAGTATATAAGACTAAACTTGATTTGCCATCAAGCCCCAAACAATTTTTCAACTGGGCATTGAGTTCTAACTTTCCTAAGATAGCAGTTTTTGAAGGGACACGAAGTAAAATCAGAATGAGTTCATGAGCCTTAAGGTAAATCTCTTGCTGAAATAATCCTTTTAAAATCAAAATTTTGTATCAGACTCAAAATCATTTAAAGACTAGCGAAAGACAATTTGGTATTCTGACTATGGTCAAACCAGGTACCCAAACCCCCTCCCTGAGCAACACCTTTCCTGCTCTTTCCCTCCCTCGTAGGCTGGTGGCTATGCTCCATGGCTGTAAGTTCAGCTAGAATTCCTTTTATAGAAAACCAACATGATAAACATATTCATGATGGGAGAAAAATGTGGGAGTGAATTGATATTTAGAAAGCAGCAGTCAGGCGTGGTGGCTCATGCCTGTAATCCCAACTTGGGAGGCTGAGGCAGGCCGATCACTTGAGTTTGAGACCAGCCTGGCCAACGTGGTGAAACCCTGTCTCTACTTTAAAAAGTACAGAAATTAGCCGGTGTGGTGGCACATACCTGTAGTCCCAGCTACTTGAGAGGTTGAGGCAAGAGAATCCCCTGAACCCAGGAGGCTAAGGTTGCAGTGAGCCAAGATTGCATCACTGCACCACACTCCAACCTGGGCAACGGAGCAAGACTCCCTCTCAAAAAATAAATAAATAAAAATAAAAAATAAAAAAGGCAGAAGCCCTGGATTCAAATCCACCACACGCTCAGTTTTCTTATCGGTAAAATGAAGACCCCCTGACCGAACAGTGATTCTGTGACTCTTAGAAACAGCGGTAAGAGATGCTACATTTTTGGTGCTTGTTCAGATGGAGGAAGGATAGTTAACACTCAGGTAGCAATTATTTTGAAGGAGCATAATATATCTTCTTAAAAAGTATACCTACTCAAATATTGGTAAATGTTGACATGACTGAACCTAAATGGCGAGTAGTATTTTAGAAAAACACTAAGTCCCTGCAGATAAATGACAAGTGTTGATTTGGGTGCTTAATGTATTACATTTAGACTTGAACTGTTGGATGTATCAGAAATGTTAAAAGCTTTTTCTCAACATTTCCGAAAGTTTTTCCAAGAAATCAATGTTAGGTTTTGTTCCAGAAGCAAATTTGCATTTGTGATCTGCTTCTAAAAATGCTGTAAGTTAACCTCTATGTTTAGAAAGTGAAAATATCTGATGCTAGATTGGAAGTATCTCTTCCTGGGGAATCCAGAAAGGTAAGAATAGCATATTGTCCTACTGCAACAGATAAGTTGCTTATTGAGAAGTCTGGTTGTTATTCTATATGATAACAATACAGTTGGTGTATATTTTATAATAGATCCTTTTATTTTCCTCATAACTTTAGATGGGGAAGGAGGGAAAATTATGATATCCAGATTAATTAAAGAGCATTGAAAGTCCACAGTACTGTATCTAAAGCAGAAGTTTGGGTTTGTTGTAGACTTTTCATTTTATCAACTCATGAGCAGCTATTTGGACAGTACTGCTTATCATTTTATCATATTTTTTCACAGCCTTTTATAGATGTTTTATAGCTTATTTTACCAGTTTTCCTGGAAAATTCTTTTTTTTTTTCTTGTCTTTTTTTTCAGATGAGGTCTCACTCTGTCACCCAGGCTGGAGTGCAGTGGTGCAATCTCGGCTCACTGCAACCTCCACCTCCAGGGTTCAAGCCACTCTCCTGCCTCAGCCTCCTGAGTAGCTGGCACTACAGGTGCCTACCACCACACCTGGCTATTTTTTTGCATTTTTAGTAGAGATGGGGTTTCATCCTGTTGACCAGGATGGTCTCGATCTCCTGCATGATTTACCGGCCTCAGCCTCCCAAAGTGCTGGGATTACAGGCATAAGCTACCATGCCTGGCCATTTCTTTTATACTATAATTAAGAATTTATTAAAATGCTCAAATTGTCTAAGACTGTAAAGTTTATTGAGGAGAGGCCATGACTACCTCTGAATTTAGTAAATTAAAAATATTTCTGCTTCTCAATAAAGAACTAATATTCATATAAATAATGAATGCTTTTTTTCCCATTATGTAACCTGAAAATAAATACTTATGCAAATAGATCAAAGTCCACTAAAAAGAACTGATTACCACCAAATAAAACTTTGAGGAAGACAAAATTTAATGACCTTTTATGAGGCAATAATATTGTAACAACTCTTCAAAGTCCAGATCTTCCAGAACATGTTATATATGCTATATGTTATGTATACTACATATAACATATTCCATGTTAATTTGTGTTCTGTAGTAGTGTGTTCCATGGGCAAGACGACGGATGGAAAGTATGCTTTCTGGTCAGAAAAAAGATTTGAAAATTTATAGTTTATATTAATGTAATAAAGAGACAGAAATGCAGAAAAGAAGATGTCCCAAGCATGCTTAGCTGTGGGATCATTTCCTTAAATAATTCAGCCTCATACCATCCCTTTAGATTAACATACCTGTATTTCCAAACATACTTTAAGAAATGCTGGTATCAGAGAAGTCTTTTGTTCTGAATAACAAAGTTTATTGATTTCCAGGTGCTTTTGAAATATGAAGAACAGCTGTAAACAAAGAATTTGCCTCCAGTAGGAAGTGTAAATCTCACAGCCCTGACCCTAAGCACTGCAAAGCCCTAATATCGACTTAGTCATAGAACAGAGGATGGGCTCAAGATTCCATCTGCTCTTTGAAACATGCTAAACAAACAGTAGTTTCAATGAAACACTGCTGAGTAGATATCTCAATTTAGAAAATAAACTGGAAATAGTTTCTCTGTTTTCAAGAGAATTTATTGTTTCATGGAAACCCCTTAAGCAGAAGTTTCTTGGTATATTTTAGCTAGACTTCAGTATTTGATTTTGCAGCATTTTGTTTGTTTGTGTTTTTTGTGATGGAGTCTTGCTCTGTCACCCAGGCTGGAGTGCAGTGGCAGGATCTTGGCTCACTATAAACTCCCACTCCCAGGTTCAAGTAATTCTCATACCTCAGCCTCTCGAGCAGCTGGAATTACAGGCACACACCATGATGCCTGGAAAATTTTTGTATTTTTAGTAGAGACAGGGTTTCACCATATTGTCCCAGTTGGTCTTGAACTGGCCTCAAGTGATCTTCCCACCTCAGCCTCCCAAAGTGCTGGGATTACAGGCGTGAGCCACCATGCCTGGGCAAGATGTGCAGCTCTTTAAAGCATCCATTACAATCTCCCCTCCCACAAAAGTAAGGTAGAATTTTGAAATGAACCAATTTTTTCAAGTATTAGACATGAGGGGAAAAAATAAATAAGAATAAAAGTCTAAACAAATGATTGCTCTGTTTTTGGATGGTAGAATTATGTTTTTGGTTTTTTTCTACTTCATTTTTGAAATGTTCTATTGAGGCAGGAGAATAGACAGGGAACCTAAGGATGTTTCACACCAACTTCCTAGAACTAATCTGAAAGGAAAACCCTAACTTCCCACCCTAAGTAGCAGAAGGCCCAGAGGCTATTCCCTTTGCAACCCCCTGACCTTTTCTGCAACTGTAGATGGGAAATTGGCTGTCCGCAACAAATCAGACTGATTGTGAAGGAGTGTCAAGGGTTTTTTTGTTTGCTTTTTGACAACTGAGATAGAACTATTATTTCTCTGCTCTCTTGGAGTGATCTCTCAGTGTTAAGAGTCACCTCCGCCCAAGTATAGTGGCTCACACCTGTAATCCCAGCACTTTGTGAGACCAAGGCAAGTGGATCACCTGAGGTCAGGAGTTCAAAACTAGCCTGGCCACCATGGCAAAACCCCGTCTCTACTTAAAATACAAAAATTAGCTAGGTATGGTGGCACACAAGCCTGTGATTCCAGCTACGCAGGAGGCTGAGGCAGGATAATCGCTTGAACTTTGGAGGCAGTTTGCAGTGAGCCAAGATAGTGCCACTGCACTCCAGCCTGGGTGACAGAGTGAGAGGAGACTGTCTTAAAAAAAAAAAAAAAAAAAAAAAGTCAACCAGGCACGGTGGCCCACGCCTGTAATTCCAGCACTTTGGAAGGCCAAGCCGGTGGATCTTACCTGAGATCAGGAGTGCAAGACCAGCCTGGCCAACATGGTGAAACCCTGTATCTACTAAAAATACAAAAATTAGGTGGGCACAGTGGTGCACACCTGTAGTCCCAGCTACTCGGGAGGCTGAGGCAGGAGAATCACTTGAACCCAGCAGGGGCAGAGGTTACAGTGAACCGAGATCACGCCACTTCACTCTCGCCTAGGCAAAAAAGCAAAACTCCATCTCAAAAAAAATCTACCATTAGTGGACACCTTCAGTCTTCCCAACATGACGCTTCCACCTTGTGGTTAAAAAATGCTTCACTTTGAAGTGATTTGGTCTTCTCGTATATCCCCTGTAAAAGGAACAAAATAAATGTGAGAAAAGGTCTTTTTTATAGGGACCATTTTTTTCTAAAAAGCTTTGTCAGTGAGATTCTCTCTCTTAAAAAAAGAATTGTTACAATTCTGGCACCATATCAATTTTGGAAGACTACTGTTTTCTTAGAATGTTTCTTTTTTTGCCATTTATTGTACAGACATTAATTTGGGAGAGGGGGGATTTCAGAAAATTCTAATAAGGCCAGGTGCAGTGGCTGAACACCTCTAATCTCAGCACTTTGGAAGGCTGAGGCAGGCAGATCTCATGAGGTCAGGAGTTCAAGACCAGCCTGGCCACTCCATTTCTATTAAAATGTAAAAATTAACCAAAAAAAATTTCAGCTACTTGGGAGACTGATGCAGGAGAATTGCTTGAACCCGGGAGGTAGAGGTTGCAGTGAGCCAAGATCATGCCACTGCACTCCAGCCTGAGCAACAGAGCAAGACTTCCTCTCAAATAATAATAATCAGTAAGATTAATGAACATAGTATCTTTTATTTTTTGGAGACAAGTCTCCCTCTGTCTCCCAAGAAGAGTGTTAGCGGCACAATCATAGTTCATTGTAACATCGGACTCCTAGGCTCAAGTGATCATCCCACCTCAGTCTCCCAAGTAGCTAAGACTGTGGGTGCCAGCCACCACAATTTTTGAATATAGTATGTTATTACATTGCCCAGGCTGATCTCAAACTCCTGGCCTCAAGTGATCCTCCTTCCTTGGCCTCCCAAAGTGTTGAGATTACAGGCGTGAGTCACTGACCCTGGCCCAGGATGGTATTTTAAAACTGTCTTTTCATCTTCTAAATCAACAAAAACTTCATAGTTGCTTTCATTGCCAATCAACATCCTTTACTAAATGCCTGTTGTATACACAACGCATTTATTTGACAGTTGAAAGAAGGAGATACAAAATGATGTTACAACCTGCTATGGGAAGAAGATACAAAGGAACACACTGGTATGAACAGAATACCTCAGACTTAAGAGTGCATAAAAAAGGCTTAATTCACCAGATGCAGTGGCTCACACCTGTAATCCCAGCATTTTGGGAGGCCAAGGTAGGAGGATTACTTGAACCCAGAAGTTCAAGGCCAGCCTGGGCAACATAGCAAGACCCTATCTCTAAAAATACAAACATACATACATACACAAACACACACATGTATTAGCCAGGTAGAGTGGCAACAGGCCTGTGTTCACAGCTACTCAGGCTGCAGTGAGCCATGTCTGTGCCACTGTACTACAGCCTGGGCGACAGAATGAGACCCAGTCTCAGCAAAAAAAAAAAAAAGAAGAAAGAAAGAAAGAAGAAAGAAAGAGAAAGAAAGAAAGAAAGAAAGAAAGAAGGAAAGAAAGAGAAAGAAAGAAAGAAAGAAAAGAAAGAAAAGAAAGAAAGAAAGAAAGAGAAAGAAAGAAAGAAAGAAAGAAAAGAAAGAAAGAAAGAAAGAAAGAAAAAGAAAGAAAGAAAGAAGGAAAGAAAGAAAAGAAAGAAAACTTGGGGATGAGGGTAGAGGTTACATCAAGGCTACCTAAGCTGGATTTGGGGTGATTATGGTCAAGAATGGATGCAAACAGAATATTACACTGCCGTTCATTAAAAGTGCTTGCTACCTGCCAGACACCATCCTAAGTTCTGTACATTTAATGTCTCTAGGGTCACTAGGCAAGTAAGTACCAGATATGTGACTTTGAACTTCCCACAATAAGCTTATGAACTTTGTTGAAGCAAATTGATTTGAGAGTGAAAAGCAAGCACCCATTTCATAGTGTTCTAAAAGTCTAAAATAATCCAGTAGAACATCAGAGAGAAAATCCAAAGAGCAAGTTTTTTCCCCGGTATTTAAATCAAGGATGCAACATGATATCTGTAAACTATAACTGAACCCAAAATGGGGGGACCAAACACAGTAAAATCCATTTAGGGACATATTACTGTGATCTTGGATTGGAGGAAGGCCTGCTTAATACATGACAGTGGGCTGGGAAGGTGTGAACCAAAAATACACACATGCAAAAGCACTACAATTTAACCCTGAGAAATAAATAAAATTCATGTAGAACATAACTGTTATGAAATAAATTTAAAAGGTGAAATTTTGGACCTGGTGTGGTGGCTCACACCTGTAATCTCAGCACTTTGGGAAGCTAAGATGGACAGATCACTTGAGCCCAGGAGTTTGAGACCAGCTGGAGGAACATGATGAAACTGTCTCTACAAAAAATACAAAAATTAGGCTGGGCGCAGTGGTTCATGCCTATAATCCCAGCACTTTGGGAGGCCTAGGCAGGTGGATCATGAGGTTAGGAGTTTGAGACAAGTCTGGCCAACATGGTAAAACCCCATCTCTACTGAAAATACAAAAAAAGTTAGCCAGGTGTGGTGGTGGGCACCTATAATTCCAGCTACTCAGGAGGCTGAGGCAGGAGAATTGCTTAAAACTGGGAGGTGGAGGTTGCAGTAAGCTGAGATCATGCCACTGCACTCCAGCCTGGGTGACAGAGCAAGACTCTATCACCGGAAAAAAAAAAAAAAAGAGCTAGGCATGGTGGCTTGCACCTGTGGTCCCCAGCCTCTTGGGAGGCTGAGGTGGGAAGACTGCTTCAGCCCAGGAGGTTGAGGCCGTAGTGAGTCATGTTTACAGCACTGCACTCCAGCCTGGGCAACAGAGCAAGACTCCATCTCAATAAATAAATAAATAAATAACCCTTATTAAAGAGTTCAAAATCTTAATTATATGATGGCAAAAAACTATCCCTGTCTGGCGTAGGGGCCCACAAGCTCCTAAGCCAGCTTATTTTTTATTTTTTTGAGATGGAGTCTTGCTTTATCATCCAGGCTGGAGTACAGTGGTGCAATCTTGGCTCGCTGCAGCCTCTGCCTCCCGTGTTCAAGTGATTCTCCTGCCTCAGCCTCCTGAATAGCAGGGACTACAGGCATGTGCCACCACGCCCAGCTAATTGTTTGTATTTTTAGTACAGACAG